TGCACATATTGACGAGAGACCCCCCCCCCTCTGCTTTTTCCAGCCCTCTGTGGTTTCAGTCTGCCTCTCCCTGCATTGTATGTTACCCACCATTCCTCTCCGCTCCCTCCATGCACTCCTCTGCATAGCCTGGAGAGAGCCTGTCGGTTGACGACTCGATTCCGACCAATGACACGCCGTGTCTGTAAGGCGCAGGACCAGTTTCACCAATAACAGAAGGCACTGGGCGGGACATATATATAGAAAATCACTGGCGCTGGAGAGAGACAGACGCATCCGTGGAAAGGACCCGTGAGACGAGACAGGTACCAAAGGATCATTCTCGGCATGGACGTGTCAGAGTGACCAGCTGCAGACACTGTCGCTTCGTCCACCTGATCCACCACCGAGCATGTCTACTCCAGAAGAAGCCGGCCAGCGTGAGGAAGGGGAGTACGGAAGGGCGGCTAAACGGCTCAAAACAGAGGAGACGGAGGCGGATGAGAGAGAGGAGGGGGAAGAGGAGCTGGAGGAAGGAGAGGATTCGGACTCCGGATCGCTACCCGGTAACGGAGAGTCGGCGACAGACAATCGGGCCCGGTGGAGCGCGAGCCAATTCGGAGCAGGGCTGAGGGTAAGGAGAGCAAAAATGTTACCTAACGGTACCCTGCGGCACAGCATCACACACCGAGCCGGGCGAGCCCGCGCGCATGTGCGCGCGCGCTGTCATGCAGTCTGTGCCAAGACACATCTACCTGTCACACATATGTCGGCGCCGACATCACCGACACAGTGGAGCCTGAGATATAAATCCAGGCCAATTTTTCAATGTGACGCCTGTGTTCATTCAGCCAAAGCAATTGTCCGATGAAATGTGTGTGGTGGTAAATGTGCAAAATGTCCCGTTTGACTCTTGATGTTGAATATTCGGTTCTTTCCACTCTATGGTGTCTGTTATGTATTTGTGTATTTCCTTGCAATGCTGTGGTTTCCTCTCAGGTCACTGGGTTTTCAGTACAAATCATCGACTTGTTAACGTTTCCCACACGAAACTCAGAAGCCTAAATTCGGGTTTAACACAGATGTCCTGGTTTCTCTTTGGTTATTCACCCAGTGTCTCTTGTATCTGCTAATGTTGAGTCCATCTGATATTTACAGTGCCATGAAAAAGTATTTACCCCTTTGTTTCAAGTGATGCTGATAACTGGCAAGACATTCATTTCACGCTGAAGAATTTTGGCCCATTTTCCTTTGCACAGTTGTGTGAATTCAGACAAATTGGACATTTTTCGAGTATGAATGGCCAATTTAAGCACCTTACTAACCCTAACTGTTATTGTGATTTGGCACCATATAAATAAAACTGAATGGAATTGTTTGTGGTCATGCTAAAGCATCTCAATTGGATTTAAGTCTGGACTTTTCACTAGACCACTCAAAGCTTTATTATTATTATTTCTAAGCCATTTAAGGTGGAGTTTCTGATGTGTTTCAGATCATGCTGCATAACCAAAATGCTCTTCATCATCAGGCCATAAACTGATTGCTGGAGATTCTCCTTCAGGATTTTCAGAGTAGAATCCATGATTCCAAGCAAAGCAGCCCCAGGCCATCACACTGTTACCTCAATGTTTGCTTGTTGGTACGATGTTGTTGTTATGAAATGCTGGGGTAGTTTTATGCTAGCTGTAACGGGACACCAGCCTTCCAAAAAGTCCTGCTTTTCTCTAATTAGTCCCCTGAAAACTTTCCCAAAGTCTTGGGGAGCAAGATGGGCTTTTGAATATGTGAGGATGAACCTTTGTTTTGGTTTTTTTATGGTCAGTATTGGTTTTCTGGTTGGTTTGGTTGGTTTTCTCTCCCAGTTTTTGCCCAGTTTCTTTCTTATGGTTGAGTCGTGAACACTGACACTGACTGAGTTCTTCGGATGTTGTTCTGGGTTCTTCTGTGACCTCCTGGATGATTTGGTGAGGGGCTCTTGGGGTCAGCCACTGTTGGGCAGGTTTTCTTGATAATAACTCTCACTGTGGTTCTTTGAAGAAATGGATTTGTAACATTTTCCTGACTAATAGACGTCATGACTTTTTTCTTATTTGTTCTCAAATTATTTTTAGATCGTGACATGATGTGTTGCTTTTTGATTGTTTAGCCTACCTCACATTGTCAAATTAGCTTTGTAGCTAATCAAATTTGAACTTAGCATTTCAAAATATATGGTTAAACAGTTAATTCAAAATGTAACATGGTAGGCCTGGTAGCTGGTAGGTTTGGATGGCTTTTCCCCTTTGGTAAATACAATCAGTATTTAAAATTGCATTTAGCATTTACTCAGGTTACTTTTGTCTAATAAAATTTTTTTTTTATCTAAAGCATTTGATGTTAAATATGCAGGAAATAAGACATCGGGTAGGGTACAAACCTTTCCAGTACATGGCCACGGTCACCACATCACGCAACATTTCATGACCACGTGAACATCATTTATTAAGTTCTACTATCCCAGTCTCCACCTTTGCCTTCATGATTGTTTTGATCTGGTGCATTATAAGTAAAAACCAAATGAAACTGAATTGATTTCCAGTATTTGAGCTGGGTAGGTGCCTCGTGCCTTAACTTGATCAAATCTGATTTGAAGACTTGCTCTCGCCAGCGTACAAGTTTGCAGATTCTGTGTTTACTTACAGTTGGCTGTGTGTCCTCGTCCATCAACAATAATAAATACCTGCAGTATCACACACCGTGCAGGAAATTAAAAATTAATATGCACAAATACATACAGAGAATGCAGAATTATTAGGCAAGTTGTATTTTTGAGGAATAATGTTATTATTGAACAACAAACATGTTCTCAATGAACCCAAAAAACTCATCAAAGCTGAATGTTTTTGGAAGTAGTTTTTAGTTTTAGCTATTTTAGGGGGATATCTGTGTGTGCAGGTGACTATTACTGTGCAGAATTATTAGGCAACTTAACAAAAAACAAATATATACCCATTTCAATTATTTATTTTTACCAGTGAAACCAATATAACATCTCCACATTCACAAATATACATTTCTGACATTCAAAAACAAAACAAAAACAAATCAGTGACCAATATAGCCACCTTTCTTTGCAAGGACACTCAAAAGCCTGCCATCCATGGATTCTGTCAGTGTTTTGATCTGTTCACCATCAACATTGCGTGCAGCAGCAACCACAGCCTCCCAGACACTGTTCAGAGAGGTGTACTGTTTTCCCTCCTTGTAAATCTCACATTTGATGATGGACCACAGGTTCTCAATGGGGTTCAGATCAGGTGAACAAGGAGGCCATGTCATTAGTTTTTCTTCTTTTATACCCTTTCTTGCAGCCACGCTGTGGAGTACTTGGACGCGTGTGATGGAGCATTGTCCTGCATGAAAATCATGTTTTTCTTGAAGGATGCAGACTTCTTCCTGTACCACTGCTTGAAGAAGGTGTCTTCCAGAAACTGGCAGTAGGACTGGGAGTTGAGCTTGACTCCATCCTCAACCCGAAAAGGCCCCACAAGCTCATCTTTGATGATACCAGCCCAAACCAGTACTCCACCTCCACCTTGCTGGCGTCTGAGTCGGACTGGAGCTCTCTGCCCTTTACCAATCCAGCCACGGGCCCATCCATCTGGCCCATCAAGACTCACTCTCATTTCATCAGTCCATAAAACCTTAGAAAAACCAGTCTTGAGATATTTCTTGGCCCAGTCTTGACGTTTCAGCTTGTGTGTCTTGTTCAGTGGTGGTCGTCTTTCAGCCTTCTTACCTTGGCCATGTCTCTGAGTATTGCACACCTTGTGCTTTTGGGCACTCCAGTGATGTTGCAGCTCTGAAATATGGCCAAACTGGTGGCAAGTGGCATCTTGGCAGCTGCACGCTTGACTTTTCTCAGTTCATGGGCAGTTATTTTGCGCCTTGGTTTTTCCACACGCTTCTTGCGACCCTGTTGACTATTTTGAATGAAACGCTTGATTGTTCGATGATCACGCTTCAGAAGCTTTGCAATTTTGAGACTGCTGCATCCCTCTGCAAGATATCTCACTATTTTTGACTTTTCTGAGCCTGTCAAGTCCTTCTTTTGACCCATTTTGCCAAAGGAAAGGACGTTGCCTAATAATTATGCACATCCTGATATAGGGTGTATGATGTCATTAGACCACACCCCTTCTCATTACAGAGATGCACATCACCTAATATGCTTAATTGGTAGTAGGCTTTCGAGCCTATACAGCTTGGAGTAAGACAACATGCATGAAGAGGATGATGTGGACAAAATACTCATTTGCCTAATAATTCTGCACTCCCTGTATGTGCCACAACTGCAGTACCTTTATTGAGGCTGGGTCGGATCCTGAATCTGGCAGGAAATGTTCTTCTACAAGTTACACAGACTTCAGGTTTATAAAGTGACAAGACAAAATTTTAAGACCATTTCCAATAACTATATTTCTGATGACACAGTATTAAAAAAATATTGTATGCTTTGTCAACGCTTGCAGGCAGTAAATGAACTGCTCCTTCCTTTTCATATGAAATGCATACATGGAGTGCTTGTTTACTCAGAATTATTTTGGCATATTGCACATAACAGGCTGTACCTATATCAGTACATCACTCATTGCTTCATCACTGCTGTATGTTTTTGATCTGCTACATTGCACTGTTCTTTGTATCACCATTTACACTTACACCTGTATTGAGACTGATAATTTGGCCTCCGCAGTAAGTCTGGCCTTTGATGTATCTGCTGATTGAGGAGCCAGCGTTGCAGCAGTATCTTCTGTGAGATTGTGATGAAGCCAGATTATATTAGTTTCTCTCCTATTTGAAACATTATATTTGTAAGGAAGCTGTTGCTAAGGAAGACTTGACTTTGCTATATTTGTAGTTGAAATGTATTTAAAATTCAAGCAGATATACTTTTTAACATCAGTTCAGTCACTAGTCATGTCAGTGAGTAATAGTGTTAAATAACTATAATGCCATTATTGACCAAACCTTTTTTAATAATTGAATAACTCTAGCTTTTATCATTTCATGTAAATCTCACTGTTGCAAGCCTAGTTTTTAAAATGTTAAAAAACAAAACAAACAAACATTATTCTGCATTAGCTGTGTGTCGGCTAAAGGACTCCCAGCAAGCTGACAAATGTTATTAAAGTGGGTCTGTGGTCTGCTGACTGTGTGGGCTGGGTAGCTGGGTTAGAAGAATGCAGCTCTCTGCTGAGATAAATAACCAACAGAGTAAATAGAGAAGTGAGAAGGGCTTTTTTTAATTGGGTAGAAGGATGTAATGTATATGACTGTTTCCTTTCTCATTGTCTCACCATTACAGCGCCCAGGGGTATTAGAGTGGAACATTCACACACACGCATTCTGGGTTCTGAGTGAAGGTGGGATCACCTTGCATGTAATCAGCATTACATGCTTGTAGTCTAGTTTCCAAATACTTAGGTATGCATGCACGTACACGGTTACACATACGTCATTTCATCATTAGAGGGTGATTAAGAAAATGGATGCGCTGCTACTGTGTGTTGCTTCAGCCATTAATTAGAGTCAGAACAGAGCACATGTATACAGTTGAAAGTCTAAAAATAGGATCCCAGTAAAAGAAAC